GGAAAATACAAGAAATAAAAAAAAGAAGGATATATCTTGATTCGATTCTGAATCAGCAAACATATTGTTGTCCGACGTTATACTAAAATTACTTCTTACTACTATATATATAGCAGTTCTCTTTTACTTCCGATGGTCTTTGACCACAGTTTCTTAAGGGAAGCCAAACAAGTATCGCTGAACAATAGCAGAAAGATGAGAATAGTAACGTTTCTTATCAATCACATCAGCTGTTTTACCCATACTAACAGTTAATGACTATCAATACTCTGTTGAGCTGGTAGAGAATATCTCAACCATCGATGTGTGAAAATTTTTCTTATGACTAGTCTACACTTCTCGAGTCTTTTTACAAACTTGGTCATATACGTATGTATCCATTGACTATTCCTTTTATTTTTGTTCCTTTAATTATGTGTGAGAATAGTAGGCCTGTAGCTCCTTGATCACACACGATATGCATAATGACATAGATCCTTTCAGTAGAGGGTTAGCGACGTTTGCGTCGCGTTGCTTGTATATAATAAACTGATCTTTGTATTATTATTTATTGGTAATTTAAATACTGATCATTTAATCTATTTTATTAAACACTTAAATAATAGCCTTTTGTTAATCTTTTATCATAGAATAAAGTGAATATTATTTTATAGATTCCAAACAAATATTGACTTATCCTAAGTTCTTGATATAATTCCATTCATCGACCGAGAATCTTACAAATTTTTAGCTGCTTAATGTTTTATTGACCTTAAGAGACTTCATTTGCTAAGCTATCCAAAATCAAAAAGTTCGAATACACCGAGAAATAGTTTATCCTATATTGACTGATATTCAGATCATCTCATATGAGTCTGAACGACATTGAAGAAGAACTTACGAGAGAACAATCGAATTGAAAACTTCTGTTCAAAATCATATTATGTTCATAGGCAGGGCTCATAATGTAGATAAGCACTCTAGAAGGATTGATGCCAATGCTGCTATTCTATTTCAGGAAAACAAATACATAAAGATAACAGGTTTCTATAATAATGCCATTATTATCATATGTATCAAAATGACGGCATTATATTTTATTTTACACATATTTCGGCTTAAGAAAATAATAAGTTGATGAATTTTTTTAAAGGTGCACCATGAAACGATCTACAGAAATGGTATAATGAAACTTCGATTGACTTGCTCTAATCATTTTTGCCATATTCAAAATAAACAAATTCTGTGATAGTGCTGTTCTCATCATGTTCACCATAATAAAAATTTTTGAATAACTTATTTGGGTGTGGGTGTGGGTCTGTGGGTGTGGGTGTGGGTGTGTGGGTGTGGGTGTGGGTGTCGGTGTGGGTGTGGGTGTGGGTGTGAGTGTGGGTGTGGGTGCGGGTGTGGGTCTGCTGAAACATTGTTGTCAACATCCACACCCACACCCACACACCCACGCCCACACACCCACACCCACACACCCACGTCCACACACCCACACACCCACACACCCACACCCACACCCACACACCTACCCACACCAACACCCACACCCACACACCTACCCACACCAACACCCACACCCACACCCACACACCTACCCACACCAACACCCACACCCACACTCACACACCTACCAACACCCACGCCCACACCCTTAATTCTTTCAAGTTTTATCATCCATAATTTTGAACATCTGTCTAACATGAACAATAAATCTTTGAGATTTTTCAGACAACATTGAAGTTATTCAAGATTTGAAAATGCATTAATTTCATAATTAGTATACCATTGATGTTGTTTAATCCAAAAATCAGTTCGAAATTCTTCAAGTTTCTTCAATATTTTATTATAATCATCAATAGCATAATAATCAAAAATGAATTTAAATATATGTAAATGAACTAATGAAGGTTCAATGAGATGTTGCCAAAGATCAGCATCAGCCATTTCAATATTATTAGGAGCATATATTGAAAGAATTTTTAAATTTGGTATATATTTTAATAAAATTTGAAGAGCTTGAAATTTACTTTTAAAATAATTTATTATTAATTGTTTTAATTCAAAAGTATATATATTATTCAAATTTAATATATCATCGGTAATGTTAATATTGTGGAGATATTCAACTTGTAATTTTTTTAACATAGGTATATATTTAAATATTTCCCATAAATCAGATAAATCACAATTATAAATAGCTAATGATGTAATTGACATTGTTTTACAAATCGCTTTTGAGTCAAAATCAAATTGCGGTACTATTAATATTCGTACTTTTAATTTTAATTTTAATAAGCTAGTAATTATTTCCATAGTTTTATATTCTAGAGAAGTAAAAAAAACAGTATAAATTCGATAAGAATGGCAAAATAGATAATAATTGTTCAATATTTTCTTCCTTTAAGTCAATTAATGATAACGATCGAAGATGGATCAATTCATTTAATGAAAATAATGAAGACAATGATTGAATTTGACCACGTGTACCCTTTATTTGATAATTGGAAAATAATTATGTTTTGTTTAATTTCTGGATTTAATAACATCGTTTGACAAAATTCATTAAATGATGATTTCCTAAATTGTTGAAAATTACCATACAATGGAATATTTCGAATAAGTGCATAAAAACGATAGTTCAATCGATCAAATGATTGAAATATATCTGGTGCATTTAGATATTGAAAACATTCAATCAATTCTTCATTTGCTAATAATTCAAATTTTGTTTTCATCGACATTGTACAGGGTGTTTCATAAATAACACCCCGATAAGAAATTTAAATATCTCCGCTAGATGTCGACCAAATGAGCTGATATTTTTACCAGTGATAGAGGCGTGTACCAAGTTTATATCCATAAGGACATGTCTAGGGAGATCCTTTGTTAACTATCACTACTGACTGAAGACAAGAAAAATTTACTATTTCACAGTTTGAAAAAAAGTCACTTAGCCGAAAA